TATCAGAAATATATAATAAAATGTTCTAAATCAACATTTTTAAAAATGGGAAACACTATAAAAAAGGGGGCAAACGAAATGAAATTATAATCAATTCATAAAAGAGAAAAAACAGGACAGTCATGGTGGCTCACGGCTATAATCCCAGCACTTTGGGAGACCAAGGTGAGAAGATTGCCTGAGCCTGCGGGTTTGAGACCAGTCTGGGAAACTTGGCGAGACCACATCTCTACAAAAAAAAAAAAAAATTAGCTGGGCATGGTGGCGAGTGCCTGTAGTTCCAGCTCCTTGGAAGGCTGAGGCAAAAGGATCACCTGAGCTCAGCAGGTCAAGGCTGTGGTGGCTGGAAGCATGCCACTACCCTCCAGCCTGGGTGACAGTGAGCCTCCAAATCAAAAAAGAAGAAGAAAAAATTAGAAAAAACTTGAGAAGATGCTCAAATATTTTAAATTTGCTGCCCAGCATGGAGGTTCATGCCTGAAATCCCAGCACCTTCGAAGGCCCAAGGTGGGAGAATTGTTTGGGCCAGGAGTTCAAGACAGGAAGTTGGAATGTAGAAATCCCATCATTGGTGGTGGGAGTGTAGACTGGTACAGACATCCCAGAACCCCAGAACTGAGGTCAGTATGTGCAAGAAATTATCACAGAACCAAAGGAGACACGTATTTATTTTAAAATATTTATTGCAGCATTGCTTATGGCAGCAGGAAGTTGGAGGTCATCTAAGGGCTCATCATTGGGTTAGGGAACAAATAAAGTCTAGGGATCTCAATATAGAATATCCTGTAGCAGTTAGGAGCAAAAGACTAGAAGGTCACCGAGTCAAAGAAAGTAGTTTCTTTTGTTTTGTTTTGTTTTTTGAGTTGGAGTCTCACTCTGTCGCCCAGACAGGAGTGCAGTGTCTGCTCCCGGCCACCGCAGCCTCGACCTGCTGGGCTCCGGCGATCCTTCCACCTCAGCCTTCCAAGTAGCCGGAACTACAGGAGCGCGCTACCATGCCCAGCTAATTTTTGATTTATTGTAGAGATGAGGTCTCACCAAGTTGCCCGGGCAGGTCTCGAACCCGCGGGCTCAGGCAATCCACTCACCTCAGCCTCCCAAAGGCACGGGATTACAGGCTGAGCCACCGAACTCGGTTGTTTTTTTTGTTTGTTTTTTTATTTGAGTCGGAGTCTCACTTTGTCGCCCAGACTGGAGTGTAGTGGCCGCTCCCGGCCACCGCAGCCTCAACCTGCTGGACTCCGGCGATCCTTCCGCCTCAGCCTTCCGAGTAGCCGGAATTACAGGCGCGCGCAACCACACCCAGCTAATTTTTTTATTTTGTTGTAGAGATGAGGTCTCGCCTGCCCAGGCGGGTCTCGAACCCTCGGGCTCAGGCAATTCACTCACCTCAGCCTCCCAAAAGCACGGGATTACAGGCTGAGCCACCGAGCCCGGCCCTGTTTTGTTTTGTAAAATGGAGATAAGTGGTCAGATTAGCGGTTAGCATGATGAGATTTTTTTTTTTTTTTTTTGAGTAGGAGTCACACTCTGTAGCCCAGGCAGAAGTGCAGTGGCATGGTCACGGCCACTGCAGCCTCGACCTTCAGGTTTCAGGTGATCCTTCTGCCTCAGCCTTCCAGGCATGCGCCACCACACCCGGCTAATTTTTTTATTTATTGTAGAGATGAGGTTTTGCCAGGTTGTCCAGGCTAGTCTTGAACACCCAGGCTCAGGCAATCCTGTTGCCTCCGCCTCCCAAAATGCTGGAATTACAGGCTTGAGCCACTGGGCCCAGCAGGATATTTGCTTTTGATTACTTCTATTTTCACAGGAACCAAAACAATCAGCTAAGAGTAAGGAAAGATAAAGGGATACTGGAAAATAATTATGGACTCAAGGAGCATTTGTAAATAAAGCCTCCCTCTGCTCATTTAATTCAGTCACCTCAACATCCAACAGAGATGGCCAGTTACAAGCCAGGTGTATCCGCTGTGTGTATTCCAGAAGCTTAGCATGGTGTTTCTCCAAGTTAAAGAATGAATAGATACCAGCAAATATATCTCGGAATCTAGTTGGGAGGAGAGGGTTGGGGCTGGGGATAATAGCAATAGATACAGCTAGCAGTTGTTGAATACTTCTGGAAGGTTGATCACAACACAGTAACTCAGAGTTCTATTTGTCTTTTCTTATTAAATCCAAACAATGATCTTGTAAGTAGATGCAACTGTTTATAAACAAGGAAACCAAGGAGGGTTTTCTCCTTCAGAACCAGGGCCCAGAACACTAGGCTGAGATGGGGGAAAGCAGGTAGGAGTGAAGACCCTTAAGGGCTATTACGTTTACCCGATTCCCTTGAATCTGAACACATGAAGCTCCTGTTTCAGTATAAAGTAAGAAATCTGGTTGGGTGCAGTGGCTCAAGCCTGTAATCCCAGCATTTTGGGAGACCAAGGTGAGAGGATTGCCTGAGCTCAGGGGTTTGAGACCAGCCTGGGCAACTTGGGGAGACCTCGTCTCCACAATAAAATTAAAAATTAGGCCGGGTTCGGTGGCTCAGCCTGTAATCCCAGCACTTTGGGAGTCTGAGGTGAATGGATTCCCTGAGCCCATGGGTTCGAGATCCGCCTGGGCAACTTGGCGAGACCTCATCTCTACAAGAAATAAAAAGTTAGCTGGACATGGTAGCGCGCCTATAGTTCTGGCCACTTGGAAGGCTGAGGCAGAAGGATCGCCGGAGCCCAGCAGGGTGAGGCCGTGGTGGCCGGGAGCGTGCTGCTGCACTCCAGTCTGGGTGACAGAGTGAGACACCAACTCAAAAAAAAAAAAAAAATTAAAAATCAGCCAGGTGTAGTGATGCATGCCTGTGGTTCCAGCTACTTGGAAGACTGAGGCGGGAGGATCACCTGAGACCAACAGGTGGAGGTTGCAGTGACTGTGAGCATGCCACTGCACTTCTGCCTGAGCGACAGAGACTCCTACTCAAAAAAAAAGAAAAAAAAAGCCAAGACGTGGTGGTGAGTACTTGTGATTCCAGCTATTTGGAAAGCTGAAGCGGAAGGATCGCCTGAACCCAGCAGGTCAAGGTTTTGGTGGCCGTGAGCGTGTCCCTGCAGTCCAGCCTGGGCAACAGAGTGAGACTCCTACTCAAAAGAAAAAGAGAGAGAGAGAGAGAAAAATCCCAGGCCACAACCTAAGCCCCTCCTCCTGATCACCTGAACACCTCAACCACTGCCACCAGGTGGATGACCTTGGAGAAGTTACACGTTTCCAGTTCTGTAAAATGAAGGATAATGTTACCTAGTTCACATAATTTTTATGTTAAGTGACACATTCCCTGAGGCACTACATTTGAGGAAATGCTTTGCATATGCAATGGTGTATGGAAGTACCTATATATGTTAATGGTTTGCTGTTGCTATTATTATGACTGCTATGCATATGGCGTGGGCGAAACCCACCTTCTCCAACAAAATGGGTCCCCTAGATTGCATATCAATACAGAATCGGAGGCCAGGCCGAAATCCCAGCACTTTGGGAGGCAGAGGAGGGAGGATTGCTTGATCCCAGGAATTGGACCAACCTGGGCAACATAGCGAGACCTCGTTTCTACAAAAATCAAAACATAAGCCAGGTGTAGCGGGGCAGGCCTTGTAATCCCAGTCACTAGACAGACTGAGGCGAAAGAATCACCTGAGCCCAGAAGGTTGCGGCTGCAGGGAGCCGCGATGGTGCCACTGCACTCCAGCCGGGGCGACAGAGTGAGATTCCTATTTTTTAAAAAAACAGCAAGTTTAAAGAAGTTTAGCCAGTCGTCTTTGCTAGGGGTGAGGGACGGAATTTTTCTTCATCAAGGCAAAACTGCTCTCGAAGACTTCAGGTCTGGAGTTCCAGGGAGAACAACTAGGCTCGCTGGGCGAGATCTGCAATGCCCATTGAAGGGATTTGAAATGCAGCGCCGTGTGGGACGCCCCTGCCACCGGCTGGGCACCAGGGGGCGCCGGTCGGACCCGTCTCGAGGCTAGCACGACCTTGGGCAGCAATTCCCGGTGCGCCCCGCCGTCGCTGGCCGGGATCGGGAGAGCTGGGGCTGGGGGCCCCAGGGGTCTACCCCATTCGTGGCCGCAGTCAGTCTCCAGCGTCCCTCCTCCTCCTCCTTCTCAG